AAATTTTTAATAAAATATTTAGCAGAATATTTGAACATGTCCTTCCTTTGTTAATAATAACTGAAACACCATAGCAATCAGCCTGCTGCAGTGTTTAAGATTTCCATTTTGTTACTTGATTGAAATATTGTCCAGAACGAGGTAAATGTACCGGTTCTATCATTTCTCACGAGACAACTCATTCTTATCCCTCTTTTGATTAAAGTGTCTCAAACAGTCTTGCGCCTCATGCATAAACTATTTCAGAGGATGAACATTTATCAGAGGCTCACAAACAGCAAGGGAAGATATTCAGTTCTTGATAGGTTTCATATCTTTCAGCAAATCATGTTACCATAAGATAGCTTTAAACTGGCACATTTGGCAGTAAAAGACATACAATCATGTAACTTGCATATTTCAACTGTGTAGATAATATTTCTGAGAAATATCGAAATCTGAAGAAATTTATATTCTGCTGTGGATTTTGTACAATGTTCTGTATCAGTTATTCATGTCTTTCCTTATTGACTTTGATTGCCTTTACAAGTATTTTTAATGTTTTCTGCAGAGGACAAGATAAAAGTGATCAAAGGCCTGAACTCGCACATTGAGTCCATCATCGAGTGTAAATCACAGCTGTTGGTGAGACTGCAGCAGCCATTTGTTGGTGACTTCATCAAACTAGAAGCCCAGTATCACAAGTATGATATCATCAACAGAACATTCAACTACAGCCCTAATAACCTCAGTATGGTCCAGTCTAATACCTGTCTAATTCTACAAAACCCTACATAACTTTATATATAATCATGTATATAATCACATTACACCCAAAACTGTATACAAATATTTCTTTTGGTTGACCTGATAGACCTATGTAGTCTGTAAATCTACCTTGACTATTCTGGCTATACTCATGTACATTACCTCATACATTTTTATTTATTACACTACCATTATGAAACATGTTTGATCAATTTATGAAAGTTACCTGATATATCCTGACAATGGAGTGTGTACATGTAGGTTTCCTCATAGGTTCTGGTTATAGACATGTATTTTTTTGAGTTTAAGAAACATTACCGTCTTGTATAAGCACCAGTATTGTTTTAAAATATAAATAAGAAAAGTCAATTTCCATGAAATGTTTTTAACATAAGAATTCTCTAAGCATGCATATATTGTTGGAGATTCAAAGCTGTATAGTATGATTTGACACCGTTTTAAGTTTACAAGAAAAATTGTACAACACACTTATCTTGTGTAGAAGCCTGAATGTGTGTAACTTTGTATATTTAACATGACAGATTTGCGGGAGCACTGTTCCCCCAGATAGCTCCTCTGTTGGCAGACCTCAACACACATCTAGAGAACATATCTTGGACCAAGAACCTTACATTTTCTGATGGGAAATTGGTAATCGAACCTTTATTTGATACTATATATACTTTTACTGAGGAGAAAAATTGAACTCAATGAATATAGTGATACCCTTTCTTTACAAGTCTGTCCTCTTGCCAATTACCGTAGCACTGGTTTGGTTTCATGAAAACTCTTAATAACATTTTCTCTTTATTTTAATTCTCCATTAGGGAAAATGATTCTTAAAATATGTGAAGAAATAACTCCCAACCTGAACTAAGGAACTTTCAGGAAACTGAGGCCTGGTCACAGTAATTTGTAACAGATTCCACTCCAACCATCACAGCAAGTAGGGATTGCAATTATAGATGTAACTTCACATTGTTAAAAAGTAATATTTGGAATATTTTTGTAAATGTTTGGCAAATTCCCCCAAATGCTGCTGATTGTATATGCGAATAATCATATGTGGTAAGACCTTGCATGTACATATAGTAGAAAGGGAGGCTATCTCACCAAAGGGAGGCTATCTCACCAAATAGCAAATCAAAGAACCAGTACGGAAAAGCTGAAATGGCTCAACTAAAACTATAGCCCATCTACCTCCAGTTGACAAATTGATCATGTTATAGGCCCAGACAGTTCATACTATGATTACACATGACTGAGCATTTCTGTAATAATTGCAGGATTTCCCTTAGTCATCAAAACACGACCAGTTTTAAACCACTCATTGTTGCGTTAAAGAAAGTTTGATAGCATGGTCCTCCTTGTAAACCTGTCTCAACAGAATTATTGTGTCTGTTTACAGGAGATAATGTTGTCCGAGCTGAACAGCATCCTGGCCACGCTGCAGACCAACTTCCAGTCCCTGTGTCAGATGAGGGGCAGCATGGGGTCTCTGTACCAGCATGACTCCCAAACAGTACCACATTAATTCAGTATGACTACCAGGCAGTGCAGCATTTATTCAGCATGACTCCTAAACATGGCAGCAGTAATTCAGCATAACTCTCAGACAGTGCAGCTATAACTCAGCTGGATTTGCAGATAGTTCATCAGAAATTGAGCGTGATTAAGTCCTCACCTTGTGGATACTGTGTCTAAATACTGAATGTAGGGACTGGGAATTAGGAGAACATTTCTTTTTAATGGAAGCAGCATTAGATATAGATATAGATTTCATTATAAAGGAGCAGAATTTCGTCATAGACAGGAGGGAGTAATGATCCTGTATAGAGGAGTATAAGTTCAGTTAAGCAGAGCAGCATTTTATGAAAAAGGAGGTGCATTTTCATTTAAATATCAGTTTCAGGATAACATATTTGTTAATATACTAAATCTCCTCAATCTCTGCACTTTTCCTCTTGTACAATATGTATATATACATGTATAGGCATTGATCCTACTATGCAAGCATGAATATTTTATATTACATAATGGAGTGTATGTTGATGTTCAAATAAACTGTTTCAATGTAAGTTGTGTTACTATATGTTATAAATTGCCCCTTAGAGCTCTCACAGAGGCTTTGAATCGCTGTCAGTGTACCATGGGTATATAAGATTGTACATGTATCAACATGTGCATCCTCACCTGACTGTGTGTTTCTTGTTACTTTAGTGTCCTGCGTCAAGGTCTCAATTACATAATCTGGTTTCTCTTTACTGAAGCTACTTTCATTTCTTCAAGTTGGTGATTTTTACCACCTCATCACACACAACTGGGCCACATTTTGCCAATAATCGAAAGACAGAATTATAGAAGACTTTTAAAAATTCTTATACCAGGTAATAACTTGATACTGGTGTACTCTGTATTAAATGCTCCTATACTCCTGGCATACAAAGTCTTAGTAAATTTGGTCTTACCATAGTACTTCAGAACACAAATCCTGAATGTGAGAAAGTTGACAAACAGTTAGCATCATAGCAAAAGGTCAGTTGTTTCAGCTGTTGAGTAATAGAACGGAAGGGTACAATATTTGATGCAGAAATGTTGATGGCACCGATTACATTTCAGCATCTGTGTTAATTTATCCTTGAAATCTTGGAAAGTTTTCGTTGTTATTGTCTTTGGTGGTTAAGGAACTCTGTGCTTTCTGATCCTGCCATTTCAGCCAAGAATCAAGTTCCTGGGTTTTCTCTGATCCCTTTATGACGAAGTGCCATGTGAGCTTATGCCTTGGCGCGGCATTCGTCCGTCCGTCGTCAATATTTTACTTTAAACGACTTCTTCTTA